GGTGGATATGATGACTTAAAGAGGTGAGTGGGTTAAATGTGTGATTATATAAGAGTTTAAATAGCAAAAATAGTCCCTTTTGTAATCTACGGAACCATAAAGGATCGAGGCTTGTAAGCCGGCAACGTTCTTGGTAAGACAAATATCGGTGTTCCGGGGTTAAAATTCTCTTGGTAAAAAAGTGTTGAACGGATTCTATTTTATTCCGCTCAGTAGCACGCATGAGGCTAGATAAAAACGAACAGTATTCCAGGCCAGGTCTAACGTACATGTTGAAAAGGCGCATTTTAATATCCCTAGTTTTAAAATTTTGGAGGATAAACCCGGTCGTTATGCGTGCTTTGAAGACTATCAAGGCACAGTGCTCCGAGAGATTGAGATTCTTGGAGTATGATACGCCCAGATCCTTAAAAACCCTGAACAAATTTAAGGAGTGACCTTCAATACTTAGTTGAAGTTGGCGGTCGTCGGCAACCACCATGACTGAGCACTTATGCAAAGAAAGAGAAAGGCGCCATGTGCGGCACGACTGGGCGAAAGCCTGTAGATCGCTCTTAAGGAGCTCAAGCACGATGTCATGATCTGCCGGTTTATATCGATATGCAACTTTAAGATCATCGGCATACATGAAAGGCTGACCATTCTGAAATAAATCGGGTACATCATAAACGAAAAGGCAAAATAAAAGCGGGCCGAGTACACTACCCTGAATGACTCCACTCCTCACACGTGTGGGGTTGGAGATGGTATTGGAAATCTTAACTCGTTGTGAACGAATGCCCAGGTAAGAGGATATAAAATTCAAAAGTTTGCCACCTATTCCGAAAGAGGACAGTTTCAAGAGAAAAAGAGCATGGTCAACACGATCAAAAGCCTTAGTGAAATCGAAATATACTGTGTAAAGAGCAAAACCATGGTCCCTAGATTGGAGAACATAGTCAAAGAAAGAGAGTTGACAGGTGTCAAAAGATCGAGCTTTGAGGAATCCACGCTGGGCAGCACTCAGTAGGTTATTCACTGTTAAGTGACACATCATTTTATTTTTGAGCAATGTCTCTAAAATCTTCGAAACTGCGGGGAGGGTGTTTATTGGCCGAAAGTTATTAAATGACGTGGATTTGCCGTGCTTAGGAATGGGCAAAATGTGTGATTCCTTCCACAAGGTAGGGTAGGTTTTAGTTTCAAGAGCAAGATTAAATATCTTGCATAAGAGGGATGGGAAGATCGTGTTTGCATCGGCTTTTAAAATGCTTACTGGGACACCATCAGGTACTGGACTAAAGGAGTGATAAAAACGCCGAATCGCAACAGTCACATCCCACAGAGTGAAAGTTATAGTTTCTAGAACTGCCCCGGTCAATGGCTGGATGGTTGGAAGCGGAGCGCCTATTTCATTCAATAAACTGAACTGAACTGACCGTGGCTGTTTTACTACACCGGGAACTAGTAGGCGTAAACCCGTATATATAGATTGCGTGCTACATGCTGCCACTTTTCTTCGCCACGCCGTGCAGCAAAGATGTCAAAACAGTGCCTATCGGAAGCTGACTTTGAGCGGATACGAAAATTGGCAGCCGAAGGGCTGCCGCATGAGTCGTTAACTAGTATTTTCAACATTTGAAAGGTCACCCTCTGGAGAATTATTATTAATAAAAACATGCCTAGAACTAAGCAAAGTGGGCCAAAACGACTATTTCATTCGTCGGACATTGAAAACTATCATTATATGTCACTTAAGACTATTTACAGTGAACACCTGTCAATGTTTTCTATGTGCTAATTAGAGAAAGAATGAAAGAGTTCGGTCTCCATCAGCAAAACGCAATGACAAGGCCATTTTAAAGTAGAAAACTTTTAAGAGGACGTTTTTTGTTTGCTTAAAAATATATTGATCACAGGATTTCCTTCTGGAAGAGCATTTACTTTTGTGATGAGGTCTTATTCTTAGACAAGCCTCCGAAGGCGGCCCAGGTGGTCATAAGTGGAAAGAACTTTCCACGAGAGCAAACTATGTCCTCGTCAACTTTCATGAACTGCCGACGCCTGATGGTTTAGATGGCCATTAAATTCGGAGAACGACCGATCTGGTGTTTAAAAGTGGAGACGATTAATGACAGTTCGACCGTCGATTTCGACGATGTCCACCGTGTGCCCCACAGCTGCAGCAGCGGTGGCAGCAGGGACGGTGACTTACGCAGGGGTTTATAGTGCCAGTAGACTTGCGTAGCATCTACCTACACTCTCTCCTCCTCCCCCGCCTGGGCCCGGTGTCAAGACAGAGTCAAGAAGACCGGAGACGAGGGAGGCCGCAGGTGGATGGCGCGGACGGATCCTCACCTTGGCGTTCCACCACACCCCCTGGTCCACACAACAATAACCAAGATTTCAACCAACACAACATACATTTGGAGGCTGACACGGCCGAAGCCGCACCTGGGTGTGCCGCCAACGCCTGGCTCGGATCCCACACTGTGGTGGGAATGCCATAAGGCCACATTAAAAAGGAGCCATTGCAGCCTGACTCTCAGACCGCCTCCCGTTAAGGAGGAGGTCCAAGGTACCCCGTCAGTTGGCAACCTTCCAAGCCACGGCTTTTAGCGCACCGTGATAGCTTCAAGCGCGTCAGATT